AACTTGCTATGATATCATTACTTGACTTTTTATATATTCTCTTAAATCTGTGTAAATAATATTTGGTTAAAACTTAGTGGCCATATTTCCTAAACTGTTCTCTCTCTTTTCTAGGATCTTTTAAAAAGGTCTGATTAGCCCATGCCTTTGATCCCAGCACTGGGAGCCAGAGGCAGGTGGATCTCTGTGAATGTAAGGCCAGCCTGGTCTACATAGTGAGTTCCAGTGTGGTGATGTATTGTGTCTCCCAGTATACTGTGTCTCCCAATAAAATTTACCTGAGGACCAGAGGAAAAAGCCAGCCACTATATTAACATAGAAGTCAGGCAATGGTAGCACATACCTTTAGTCCTATCACTTGGGAGGCAGGGATCTGTCTAGATCTCTGTGAGTTCAAGGCCACACTGGGGAACAGAGCCAAGCGTGGTAAAACATGCTTTTAATCCCAGCACTAACCATAGAGGTCTGGAGGTCTGAACAGACAGACAGGAAGTGACAGAGCTAGGCAGGAAGAGGAAGTGATGTAGCAGGGCTGAGAGAGCCAATGAGAGAACAGAACAGAAAGGCATATAGGTGTGGAGATACAGGAAGTTGCTCTCTTTGAAGCTGCAGAGTTGGTGAGGTGAAGTTATCTGTGGCTTTTCCTATTCCTCTGATCTCTCTCAGGCATTAACCCCAATTTCTGGCTCCAAGTTTTCTATTTAATAAGACCGTTTAGCGATTCATCTACATTCAAGGGCAGCCAGAGCTGTGTAGAGAGACTCTGTCTCAAAAACAAACAAACAGAACGTTTATTTATGTGTATGTAATGTATGCTTGCCTCCATGAGTTTGTGTACACCGTATGTGTCCAGGGCCCCTGGGAGCCAGAGGAGGGTGTCAGCTCCTCCATGTGGGTGATGGGAACTGAACCCTAGGTCTTCTGCAAGAGGAGTGGGGTCTCTTAACCATGCAGCCATCTCTCCAGCCACTCTTCTCTACCAGTGTTTATTAATACAGCATGTTGTTCAGAAATGTCGGCTTGTAAATCTCACATCAGCAAGTACTCTCAATGTTATGTTACCCGAATTTCTGTTTCACTTTCTCAAAACCAGGAAGCTAACTTGAACTATCACAAGACTACCAATAGCTGACCATTTTTAATGTATAGATCTATACAGCTACCATTTTGCAAATTAATATTTACTGAATTGGGTAGGTGTGATGAGTTAATAAGAGAAGGTATGGGGATTTCTTCGTCCAGTACTTGACATATAGTAAATGCTCAGAAAGTGAGAATGATTCTTTGCGGGGCTGGGGATGAAGACCAGAGCCTTGCGCATGTGTTCTGACACTGAGCTACACCTCTAGCCAAGAATGTTGTGGAATATCTGTTTAACTGGGCAAAGACGTGATACAGTTGTTTATGCAGTACACTGTTACTTTAACTGTGTAAAGGGGTGTCACATTTGTTCAGACTGCATTTGCTTAATTAGGTGAAGACGTGTTGTGTTTGTTTCACCTGGCCTGCCCAACGCACTCAGTTGGTCTAATAAAGAGCTGAAAGGCCAGTAGTTAGGCAGAGAAAGGATGGGCAGGGCTGGCAGGCAGAGAGAATAAATAGGAGGAGAACTCTCGAAGAGAAGGAGAAGAGAACGGAGAGGAGAGGGGCACACCCAGGGCCAGCCAGACCTGAGAGGCAGTGAAAGCAAGATATACGGAAGGGAGGCAGGTAAAAAGCCCCGAGGCAAAAGGGAGATAAGGAGAAACAGGCTAATTTAAGATAAAATGCTAGCCAGAAACAAGCCTAAGCTAGGCCAAGCATTCATAACTAATAAGAAGTCTCTGTGTCATGATTTGGGAGCTGGTTGGTGGCCCAAAAGAAAAAGCCTGGCACACAAGAACTTCTGTTATCCTGGTCTACTCTCTCCTGTTACAGCCTAGCTACCACAGGTTGACAGATTCATAACATGATCA